CACACCTACACACTAGAATCCCTATACACACTCAGAATCCTCTACACACACACATACACACTAAATCTCCTATGCACACTCTGGGTTCTCCACACACACTAGATCCCCTACGCACACAATAGATCCCCTATAGGCACACAATGCACCACCTACACACACTACATTAAAGACATACACACTCTGGGTCCCCTATGCACACACTAGATCTCCTGTAAGCAAAAACACACTACTTTCCCTAAACACACACACATTACAACCCCTACACACACTACATAATCTATACACACATACACTACATCCCCTATGCACACACTCGCTACATCACATATACTCACACTCTCTACAGCCCCTAGCCATACATATTATACCACAAATACAAAACAAATGAAACCGACATTTACATAAAACACTACACCACAATGAACTGACTCTACACACACTCAATCCCACAATCAGGATCTAAACACATGTACAATACGCTTTCCTTACACTATTGTCCTCTGGTATCCCACTTATGGAGACACAGGAGAAATGTCACAAGCAAACAGCACAAGCATCTTAATAAATTTGCTTGTCCTGCATTAAACAAATACAGGGCCTTTTTTCATGCAAGAGCTGTTAAGCAAGGCTCTGCGCATTGAACAAACCTGCTCACTTTTAGAGGGGGCGTGCTTGTCATTGGAGATGACAAAACAGACCCTCTCTGGCCCGCCCCCTTCTCAGTGGGCCGCTGTGATTCAAAAATGCCCGGGCCGAATTTTTTCCCCAGTCCGGCCCTGTCCCCTGCCAACGTCAGCTGGCGGGGGAAACCTAATGTGCATGCGCGACAATGGCCACACTCACATTGGGATCTCCCCATCGGATAGCATTATTCAGTGCTTTCCTATGGGGATTCCGACAACGCTGGAGGTCCTCATGTATAGTGTGAGGATGTCCAGCGTAGTTTAAAACACTTTTCGTCTTTTAAGAACACGGAAGTCCCTCTAGTGGCTGTCTACTAGACAGCCACTAGAGGAAGACTTAACCCTGCAAGGTAATTATTGCAGTTTATAAAAACTGCAATAATTACACTTCCAGGAATAAGGGAGATGGGAGTTGGCACCCAGACCATTCCAATGGGCAGAAGTGGTCTGGGTGCCTGGAGTGTCCCTTTAAGCTAAAAAATGCACATTATAAGAACTGAAAACAGGCGCACTCTAGTGGCCAGTAGAAGGGTGTCTATTCTGCTGAATGAGAAATCTGGCCCAGAGCCCCTCCTAAATATGGACACTTGGGAGGCAAGTAGTGGCGCAGTTTTAAAACAGGTTTATATCTCAGAATCGCTGCTATTCTAACCTGAGATAATGTCCAAACTTGTACCTAGCAGTCTACAGAGAAAGCTTAGAGGAAGGAAGAAAAACAAAAACAATGTTTCGATTTCTAATCCTTCAATGCGATGTGTGCCCTGGCTGTGCCAGGACTGAACTGGATTAGGAGATCAGTTGCTAAATATTTCAGATTTATTTAAAATAAAATGGAGCACGGCATGATAAAAAGGTTAACACAAGTTATTCAATGTTTTATTAAACTGTGTAATTTGCAAAGAAGTGAGCTTGGCATATAAGATCATGTCATACTCTTTTTACTGTAAATCCAATCACAAATAATTTCACAGATGGCGAGCCACTGGAGCCATTAAAGATGTTCATTTGAAGCCAGTGATTATGCATGAAGATGTTTTGAGCAGGAATATTCTCAAATGCTGATAGAAAACAGTCCCCAACTGAAGGTATGAGAACGGGGACAATACAAAGAGACATTTTAATTCACCGTGATTTCCCAAAGGATCCATTTTAAAACCAGATACAAAACATGCTACTTAGAACAAATAGAATCCGTTTAAAAAGAAACTTAATTAGTCAGCGACAAAGAGAAAAAAATATATATCAATTTCACGTACAGAATGTCAAACCATCTATTCGTTATCGTGAAATCACAATGGTGATATACAGTACAGACATTTGGCCAGAGGTGTGACCACATTATTCATTTCCTAGATTCATTTTATGGTTTTGCAGGGTAGGAATGTTTGCTGAATCAAAGTGAGATTTGTTTACCGGTTGATGTACGAGCAATGTGCCCCTAACCCTTTACTCTTACTGAAAGGGCTACTCAAAGCACCATAACCACTTCAGCACAGTTTGGCTGTTTTGTATTTAACGTTGGAATTCACTATGAACTCGCAAAAATGCTCACTTTAGAGAACCCTGTAACAACTGAAGGAAGAGCCTTAGCTCTCTGAGGCCAGAATGCTGCAAATCGTTCTCCTGATAATGTTTTTCTAGATTGCATACCAACCAACTGTCTTGGATTTGGCTAAAGAGTCCTGATTTAGGAATCTGGTACAAGTTTTTTGTTTTTCTTGTTTGTTCCAACTTCTAGCAATTGTGCAACGACATGGCCTGCCTCCTTGCCAGTTGTATGTTGGCAGATGCTTAAATAATGATCGATATTAGAATTTATTAAAGGTACCTCTAATAGAATTTATTAAAGCTGCCTCTGTTACTAAGCAGGAGCTTCCATTACCTCTCCTGATCCCGTCAGCCAATGAGCTAGCCCTCCACTGCAGAACAGCCCCGGACATTCCTGCTTAAGGACTTCAAGATCTTCGGAGCCCCCGCGAACCCCAGGTAAGAAATCAAACCATATGTTTTTTATAGGGTTAAATTTCCTTTAACTATCATTGATAGATGAATATTAACATACTGTTTGGTACCAGTACACATTCATTACCATAATCGTTTAGGATATATTTGAAATCATCAACTTAAAGATTATGTGAAAAACAATCAGGCTCTCAAAGTGTTTAGACAGCTATCAGAGATTAGCAGGCCTACCCAAGATTGACAATTGTTACCATCCCAATGAAAGAACAAATTAAGTAATCAATGATGCTTGTTTATTGTTGGAGTTTATAATATCCTGCTATCTTCTATTCTACATAAAAAATAATGATTTCCTGCTTGCCTGTGATAATAGCCTCAATAAAAACCTACGTATAGAGTTATTTACTAAATTGGGCATAGTGGAGAACTGGTAAAAAGATTTAAAAAAAAATAGACAAAGGTAGCTGAACTCAAAAAAATAGATGATTTAGAGAATATTTAGATTTTGACTATTTTGGCCTATACATTTTCAATTCATTTCTCATTCCTCAACAATGCCCAATAAACCCAAATAGTAAGTAGTATTTGCGCATTCCTTTAATGTACAATTATTACATTTACATTGTGGCAGAGGCAGCTTATCTTTTTAATGTATTTGTGACACATTTAAAACAAAAAATATCCATTTATTATTTCTTCTTAATAACTATCCGAAGTCCTTAAAATCCACCATATTTCTGTAGCTATGTTTCCCTGTTCATGCTGGAGAGTGGCCAATCAAACACTCCTAATAGACCAGAATTGTGGCCACGCCGTGAATGAGCAGCTCACTCCATAATCCTTTTTAAGGGGTTTCTCTAACCCTTAAACAAACTTCTTTTTTTTTTTTAGTTTACAAGCACCATATAGGACTTTACTATTAGGTCCCCAGCCCCACAAACCCTGTTAAAAGCTTGTAAACTTACCTGACATCCAGCGTCGGTCAAAGCTCCCACCACTGTCATCATTCAGTGACCCGTGATTGGACCATTTTGACAGCTAGTGCAAGCGGGAGATCTTGATTTATTTATTTTTTAAAGAAAACCTATTCAATTAGTGGAGGTAGGCGGGACTGAGCACCCAGTGGGAGAGAGAGAGGGATGGGAAAGCAAACATTGCACAAACAGACTCCTACCACAATGACCACTTTACATCACAGACAAGCAGCTTAAGCACTGTCTGTGTGGTCCTTGTGCCCACTGCAGAGCACTGTCAATGCGTTCATACAGTGCTGTCCATGTACAGTTTTCTGGTGTCCCCAGATGTTGGAAACCTGGGACAGATGTGGGAAACCTGGGAGCAGGACTGTCGTGCAGAAAGCAGGACTGTTAGGAGGAATGAAAATGTTTATGGAGTTACGTTTAATGTACTGTACATCCTTTGTGTTAGTTATAAGGCAGCTGATTACATATGGTTTTCATTATATCTAAATGGAGGCTAGTTATCAAAACCTGGTTAGGAGAGGTGCCCACATTTATATAATTTATTTATATGTGGAAATAGGACTCAACTTACTTCTGTATACCAAGCTGTAGTGTGAGTTTATAAAAACAAACAAACAAACAAAGACCGACTCAAAGTTACTTTAAAGTTGTTTATGATGTAAAAGGTTAAATCCCAGAATAATACTATGCTACAAAAAAATATAGCCTTCATAAAATACTAAGAGAGGGAATTAAGAAACATGGGTACCTTCATGTTTGTTTGTTTTTTCAACATCTGCAACAGGTTGAAAGTGAGACATTGACCTTAAAGGATATATTAATATTTTATTTTGACTGTTTTGTTAAAAATAAAATAACAGAATAAGATGTTATTGTTGGCCTTTGGTCCTCCTTACTGCGTGATCAATCTCTTTCATCTATCAGAGGCTTGGAAAGTGATAAATTATTAGCAGCCCAAATGAACACCCAAGTGATTGGCATTGGCAGTGAAGGGATCCATAATGCCAGGATAAAATAAAGTATTATAGATCTGGACCATATGATGAGAACAGGCCATGGAATTAAAGCTGCAATTTTAACTGAAAGAATCATTGGAAAAATATATATATATATATATATATTTAAATCTGTAGATCTAGAATGTAAGCTTGTTTGAGCAGGGCTGTCAACACTCTCTGTTCCTGTGCGTCCAACTCATCTTGTTGCAAATACTGGTCTGTTAGTCCACCCATTGTACAGCGCTGTGGAATTTGTTGGATCTTTTTAAATAATAAAAATAATTATTATTAAAGGGCCCCTACTTTTTAATAAAAAAATAAAACATATTTAACATCACCCTTAAAATTACCTTTGTTCCAGTTCAGAGTGAGGTCCGTAGAGGAAGATTGAAGGTAGAACGTGGACTTAGCAATGGGAACGAGGTGAGTTTTAGCCTTTTATTTAATATTTTTTTTAAAGTTGTCAAAAGGGGCCGTAAGAGTTACTCTAACCAACACCAGTGTTTTCTTAAAACACAGCATTCTGGTTGAAGTAACCCTTTAAGATGATGTGATTTGGGTGCTTCTATAACATTGCTGTATGGAGAGATCATATACTCAGTAACTAGGTGCTAATACTCAGCAGCACTCCCTCAAGTGCCCAATAAATTCAAATATAATTCAAAAAGAGATTGCACACTAGACTACTCCTAAATGATACACATGAATGCTTTATTAAACCAAAAATAGGTCATAACATACACTAAGCAAATAATCAAATTTGAAGTGACAATAACAAGGCAAAAACATTTTCAGTGGTACTAACCACAACTTACTCAAGCCTTTCCTGGTGGAAATACGAGCCTCTAATACTCCCGTTTCGGCACCTCCTGGCTGCCTCTCTCAAGGGTGTTTGAGAAAGGCAGCCAGGAGGTTCCGAAACGTTGGGAGTATTAGAGGCTCGTATTTCCACCAGGAAAGGCTTGAGTAAGTTGTGGTTAGTACCACTGAAAATGTTTTTGCCTTGTTATTGTCACTTCAAATTTGATTATTTGCTTTGTGTATGTTATGACCTATTTGTGATTTGAGTGCTTAAAATGTTCATTTAATATCGAAAAATGTTGAAAAAGTTTATCACATTTAAATCAGCTTATATTAAAGCATTGATATATCATAACACCTATATATTCTTATGATGAATTGAGGATTCCGGTAATGGCATTCTTTCACTGTCGTTCTCACCCACGTTAACCTCAGAAGAGGACTTCTTGGCTCGGAAACACCATAGTCAATGCACGATAGCACATAATGTCTAAAAGAATGCACTAATTTCTTCTTCAAGGAAACGAGAATGTGTCCTTCAAATTTCAGGTTCATTCTCAGGTTAAAAGCAGTCAGCAATTCAAATAAATCAAGGAGACACAAAAACTCTGAAACTGTATAACATCTTTATTCTTTAACTCTTTTCTTGTCTTTTTCTTTTTGCATAGATATAACAAGTTTGTTTTTTTCCCCCTACATCCTCCCCTACCCGTCCTCAAAGAGCTGTCAACACCTCTCCAGTGGCAAAGGACTTTTTTACTTTCTTTTTACAAGTTCTGTATGACCTCTCAAAAATTACCAGAAGACAGAATACCGTGAACCTGTTCCTTAAAACACAGTGACATCTTTAACAAGGACGGATGGAGGGGGATGCATTGTCTGGAAGACGGGATGCAGAAGAAGTATATAAAAAAAAAAAACACGAAACCTTTGCTTTTAGTGACTATTCTGGTTCTGGAGATTAAAGTGCCCCTTTAAAAAGTTTTTCATTTTACCCAGCAGGCAGCATTTTGTTGATATTTAGAAAGCAAGTTTTAAAGGAACTATAATGGTCAAACTGTAGTGGTTATGGTGCCAGGAGCGCCCTGTGCTGTCACATGGTGAGATATTAAACCATTTCAGCATGGTTTGACAGCTTATTTGTGTCTGGCTGGGTGTCTCTCCTCCAGCAGGAGGGCCACACATAGTCTGAGCTCTCTCAGTGAGCGCAGTCCAGCATCAGACAAACTCTATTCTACAGAGACATCTGGCTTTGTCTGCTGACCATGAGCACCCGAAACCTGGTAAAGTGACCAAACTTATTTGACATCCTAACATGGGATGGCACAAGGGTACTCTATGCACTTATTTGTCTCTCCTTTTTACACTTTATGCTGTATAATAACCAGGATGGCTGTTTAATAAACCATTTCTCTTGTCCCATCACTTAAACTTGTCTAGGGTTTGGGAATAATGTTGTAAGATCTATTTATAACTCCATCCAGTGGCTGGCTTGCTGGCAGTTGTGAGAGCTATTTATCCCTCAAACCAGTGGTCGGCTGATAGTTGTGAGAGCAATTGATCACTCCATCCAGTGGTTTGCTGAGAGTTGTGAGGGCAATTCATCACTCCATCCAGGGGTTGGCTGAGAGTTGTGAGGGCAATTCATCACTCCATCCAGGGGTTGGCTGAGAGTTGTGAGAGCAATTCATCACTCCATCCAGGGGTTGGCTGAGAGTTGTGAGAGCAATTTATCACTCCATCCAGGGGTTGGCTGAGAGTTGTGAGAGCAATTTATCACTCCATCCAGGGGTTGGCTGAGAGTTGTGAGAGCAATTTATCACTCCATCCAGGGGTTAGCTGAGAGTTGTGAGGGCAATTCATCACTCCATCCAGGGGTTGGCTGAGAGTTGTGAGAGCAATTTATCACTCCATCCAGGGGTTGGCTGAGAGTTGTGAGAGCAATTTATCACTCCATCCAGAGGTTGGCTGATGATTGTGTGATACCAGTGAAGACGTTCAGGCTGAGAGGTGACTGAGCACTCTCTTACAGGTTGAATGGCGTGTATTTCACTCAACATACAGTACTAGCACATACAAACATGCCCTAACACTGCACCTTACAACAGTTTTCCTGCCACTGTGTGACAGATCCGGGCTGTCAGGTGATCAGAATGAGTCACATGATCAAATCATGTGACTTGACCAGTGTCATGTTTTTTTTTAGTTCATTAAAATTTCCCATTTTTTACAATTCCACAATCAGATATTGGAAACATCCGGCAGCACCAGCAAATTGGTTCTTTCGACCCAGAAAAGAGAGGCTGTTCTATAGTTTGTTTTTTAATTTAAATTCTACATAAATCAGCAATGCAACTAGATGTTTCTCAAACCAAACCACAGGAGCTTTTACTCATCTCTAACCCACTTCCACGTCTCGGCGTTCTAGGGGTCCGCAACTGACAAATAAAATATAGTATAATTTGATATTACTTCCAGCGATAGTGTGACAACCCACCTGCTACGGCTAAATAATGGCTGGCAGAGTTTTATTATTTTAATCATTATTTGATAAATTGTTACATTTCTACTAAATGATGCCAGTTAATTAGAATGACAAGGAAAGCTGTGAATCATTTATACTCTAATTGCCTATGAAGACTCTTGTCCTGACACTAATATGTATGTGTAGTATGTGTATTTTATTTATATAGCATATGACAGAGCTCGGGGATTGTGAGTGATGGGGTTTATGGAATGTTTCTGGTTGTACTGAAAATGTATCATGGGATTGTGAATTATGAACATTTGGGCAGTAAGCCACTCCACACAATACCTGTGAGGGATCCAGTTCAACAGCTCTAGTAATGCAAGGATTTTACAAAGTCACAGCAGAAAGTCGATTTTTAAAGGGTTCTTAACATTTATTTTTCTTTACCAAGAATTGAACAAGATAGGGCGGAAATGTAGTGATGTCACATTCCCAATCCCAACCCAGCTAACTTCATAGAAAGTCCCACACGTAGTCCAAAAATCTCTCTTATTTTTACCATAATCAACATGAAGAAGTCCGACAGTAGATAAAACCAAACTCGTGCATAATCCCATTGTAGGACAGAACATAATAAACCAGACTTCTTATTACACCTGGATACATGAGTCCAAATCTAGAATCAATGCCAACATAGAACTGTAAGAGTGCCACCATACTTGGTAAGTTCACATTATAGAAGAAAAGTCATGACTTGACTTTTAGCAGACTTCTGCATGGCGAAAACACTTGGTTTGGCCGAATCAATTTGTGAGGGAAAATAATTTGTTCGGGTGGACAGAAATTGAGTTTCGATTTGGAGAAGGTTCGTCCATGCAGTCTTTTAGGGAAAAATCCCCCCCAAAAAATTATATATATTTAGCAGCACACCAACAGGGGCATTTTCCCGCAATTTGGTTCACAGATAAAGTGAGAAGAAGTAATCAATAGAGGGGGGGGAAAAGAAGACGTAAAAAAAACCCCAACAACTATATTTTTATATTTACATGTATTACATATTAATTCAAAGCTGTAAATGTATATTTTTGCTGCTCCTTGTGTTTTCCCCTCTACTTGTCACTTCTTACTTCTGAGGTTGTCCTCTAGCAACCAATCATCTATTTGTTTGGAACCACAGTCAAGCTCCAAATTACAAAATATACTGTTTGTCCATCGTCCGTTCGACAGTTGTTTCGTGATACATCCATATGGAGCTTTGGAATAATGAAATTTGGATGACCCACCCGAAGCCCCCAAAATTCAGACAAATTGTATTTTGTTTGAACCTGAATGCAATCGTCTACTTTTTAATCCAAGATACAGAGACTCCTCATTTGCAAGTTTAAAGCAGTGCTATTATGTTAGTGGAAACCTGCTGGATATATTTAAAATAAAACTCTGTATGTGCAAACTGGTCAGTGGAATGCATAAGATCTCGGCAATCAACAGCGACCACTTTGGAAGCCATGTCTCCTCAGTAGTGATGTCGCGAACCGTCCGCTAACTTGCTGCGAACGGCTCGCCGCGGGTTCGTGGCCAACTCCGGTCAGCTGACACATCCCTGCCAATCTCCGGCAGACCCTCCCTCCCAGACCTTCCTACTTCCTGGACAGCATCCATGTTGAAGGCAGCTTCAACATGGATGCTGTCCAGGAGGTGGGAGGGTCTGGGAGGGAGGGTCTGCCGGAGATTGGCAGGGATGTGTCAGCTGACCGGAGTTCACCACGAACGGTTCATGGCGAACTGTGGCGAACCGTTCGCAGCAAGTTCACGGACGGTTCGCGACATCACTACTCCTCAGTAAAAATGTTTTCCAAACTGGGAAATGTAAATATCCAGAATGTTCACGCTTGATCTTAAAATTAATTGAATTTACTCTTCTAAAGCCAGAGAGGTCTTAACATTGCTGGTAAGGCGAATAGCTCACTGGATCCAGCCCATTGTCAATTAAAAGTGATATATTTATAGGTTGATCACAAGTAATTGAAATCTCAACCAGCTCCAAAATTTTAAAAGATTAACTAAAATAGTTGCGCATGTGCTAGTCAAAAAACTTAATGGCTGAAATAAATAACAAAACCCATAAATCCCTACTGGATTCTGAAATAAAAGATTAAATATAGATATCCACATTGCTACATCTAGTTATATCCTCTACCTGTCAATCATTGTTATAAGCTGTATCGTATCCACCTGGCTGCCAAAGAGACAGAGTAGAGTTAAAAACATAAAAAAAACTTTTCTGTGTCTCTTCCTACAATGTGCGCCTTGGCTGTGCCAAGTGGACTGGATTGGGATGTCAATTGCTAAATCATGACTGTACATAATGTGACAACAGACTAATAAAAGTGCTGTTGAAAGTCTCTCTCTTGTGACCTGTAAATATAAATTACATTAAAGGAATAAGTGTCAAGAATACAAAGCTATATTCCTGACACGATCTCTCCCCCTCCCTCGAACAGTCTCTGCTCGGGTAAATAAAGGGTTAAAAAAAACCTTATTTACTTACCTGATCCCAGCGTCAATGTCCTTTGGTGCTGGGCCGATGCTCCGCTCCCTCTGACAGGCCGTGAAGAGCGGGTGCTAATGCGCGCATTAGACCTCCCCATAGGAAAGCCTTGAATCAATGTTTTCCTATGGGAACAAAAATCTGACGCTGGAGGTCCTCATGTGGAGCGACCAAAGGTCCGTTTCGATTCAGGAAGAATGCCACTGTGGGCAGTGTCAGGATCTTACCTGGAGGTGGGAATCCATAGTGCAGAGTTAAGGCACACCCTTGCAATTTAACACAAACCGAGGAGACTCAAAGTAGAAATCTCCAAGGTTATGAGACAGTGCACTGGGGCTTTACAGGAAATGTGCTTCTGGATACGCTATAACAGACAAAGGGAATCCAAGAGAGTAGTCGGGTAAGGTACCAACGGTCAAGGCAGGCGGCAATCAGGCAAATACGGTAAACAGGCAAAGGATCAAAGCAGGAGTCAGATGAACAAAGCAGTATCCACGAAGGGGAACAAAATGATCTGACCAGAAGGAAGTGGCAAGGTAGGGCTTATAAAGGCAGTTAATTAGCCACTCAATCGGGAACCGTGAAGCAGTCCAGGCCCAGAAATGCAGATATCAAAGCAAGAGAAATGAACTTGAATTAACATGAGAAGTGGCGCCATGGTAAGGTCACCGACTGGAACGCAGAAGACCCATGTTCAATCCCAACCAGGCCCTGAGAAGTTACAACCACGCCTGGCAGTCTGCTTGGTATGGTGCGAACCCTGACAGAGGCAGACTTAGTGCTGCAATGTACACATTACAGTTTCTCTGGAATGGCAATGTTTTACATTGCAGCAATAAGTACACTGCACCCAGACCACTTCAATAAGCTGAAGTGGTCTGAGTGCCTACAGTGTCCCTTTAATGAATGTGGTCATTTTGACACAGTACAGTTTTTCTTTACTAATAAAGAATTGGAATTTGCAGCCTAAAGGGTTTTGTCAAAATCAATATATGTTTTATTTACAACTTGTATGCCAGCCTTATATTTGATAGTAAAGATTTCAGACTTCAGAAGATTTGTAGAGCTTTTATGGTGTCCCAGTCTCCAGCAATGTTCTGCTGTCACTGCGATAATACACCTCTGACAGAAACGCGTAGGAATCGCTGTGTGTGGGTATATTTTATCCATATCCTGCAGGGATTTCAGTGAACATAATATCCTAAGACATTATCTATTAATTAAAGACAGGAGAGCTGTGCTGTTTAAACAGCTGATAAGACAATATGCATCCTTAACGCTATCCTTACCGAGTCATTCGACTAGAAGTGCAGGAAAGTACATGAAAGATTCTAATTAAATTCAGTATCGTGCTGATTAAAGGAAATCTGCAGATACTATTCATTGAACTGGTAGTGAATGCAGCAATTAGTCTGCTTGCTCTACAATGAATCCCAACTTTTTTTTTTTTTTTTAATCCAATTCTAGCCAGTACTGCACACACAGTGGGCTGCTATGACATGGGTAGTGTCAGCTGTGAATTTTATATCTAATGGGCAGAGATAATCAAAACTATTGAAACGAGAACTGGAAGAGAACTGGGCAAATCACCAACAAATTATTGTCTTGTTTTTTCAAGTTCTCCACAGATTGTAGAAGAGGATTGAAGTAAGAAGGCTGTCTAATGTGAGAGAGGGCAACTGATAACAAATGTTATATTGAACACTGTGTTCTAAGACAGTAAAGGAAAGGCGGCCTGGCAAATTATATTTCTGCCATTATTTGGGAAAAATAAGTAAAGGGTAGATGGGAGGATCCCTAGTTGGAACATACATTTCTAAGTGGTGGAGCACATTAATCATACAACACTTACAAGGTTGCTTAAAACTCACTGTCTTAAACTAATATATACCGGAATTTCAGCAGAATAGTTCCACAAATATTTATAATACAGGTGGTAGGAGTATGATATGCTGCATTGTAAAAAAGAAAAAAAAGTATAAAAATGTAGAATAAAAAAATAATAAAAATAAAGATCAATACAGTATCACCTTGTTGGATAGCCATATGCCGATACGCCCAAATCAATCATGGATGCTAATTGTAAATTAAGGACTTGATCAATCCATATAGGTTTACCTTTTCATTTTTGTTGGCTAACACCTAGTTGTGGTGGATAACTTGACACGGGTCACGTCAGAACACTGATATGACAATATTTGACTTGGCTGTTAATTTCTTACAGAACATGGGTTCTACCATTTGTGCAGGCAATGTCAATGTACAACTACAACAATTAATAGAGAGAAGACAACCAATGGAAAACTGGATGATATAATAAATGGTAGGTCATACATGATTCTAGGTAGGAGTTAATGGGCTATACTAGTTAGGGGGCTGTCAACTTAAAATTTTTGAGTTTGATGTACATTTAGTTAAAACTGAAATGAGAGCGGAGTAAAGGAATTTTTTAAAATTAATACAAATAAACCATCTATAACATAATATATGCTTCCGACAGAAAAAGGGTACTGTAATGGGGAACTCTGCACCCCCAGCTTGTGGGTCTCATTGACAAGGAGTTTATATTTGGGTATGCACATGTTTATAATCAGTGAGTTTTTCTATGGTGTTTTAAGTATTGTTATTTACAAAAAAAAGTATGAAACCAGAACGTGTTTAAAATCTCTGAGACAGCCATTAGTTTTCTTGGTGCTATAATAAAGTTGTTTACTCTTGTACTTCTCTGCTGGTAGCCCAGCTAGCTGCTTGATGAAACTATTCTGCTTTCCTACACCTGTCACTTGCCATTCCTGATTTGCTACCTGCTTTCTTGATATCTGATTTCAACTTAGCTAACTGACCACAAATCTTCATCCTGGGGATTTTATCTGTCAAAGCTTTTTCCTGGACCCCTGGTCATTCTTCTTCATCAGACTCTTTGGCTTCCTGAACCTGATTATAAGTTCTTTTGTTTTCTTCCGAATAGCTCCTGTCTGTATAAACCCCTGTGCTACCAAACAGTCCCCGAACCCCTGTCCCCATTTCAGGCCTACCCACAAACTGGTCTTTACAAACAATGGTCCTCTGCCCAGACTTTTCAGTGATATTAAGATATAATGAGTCCAAAATAAATTATAAGATTTCTATTTCAAAGATACATTTTATTCTTATTTTTCTTTATATATCACCAACATATTCCTGGGTGCAGGTATCTACAGGGGGATCTCAGTACAGAAAGAAACAGGATTTAAAATAGAACAGGATAGGCCAGGAAATAAACGGTTTCATTTATAAAATGTCTTTATCTATTGCTTTTTAAATAAACTATCATATTACAAGCCATGCTGCATTGTTACAGCTTTTTACCTTTGATGCCAGAGGTCCAGTACAATAATATCACATCGGGGTATAGGGAATAAGAATTACACTCTAAAAGAAATTAAACCTTAACATTTACTGAGTCTATTTAAACACAGTGTATCAGAATATAAATACGCACAATTCTATTGGTAAAACAAGTGGGTAGTTTAGTGTCTATCTCTGCTTCTGCAATATTTTTTTCCCGATGTTTTTATGCAGAAGATACACTTGGTATGATAAATAGTTTGGGTTTACCAGCCAAACATTGAGATTACCTGGAATCGGACAACATGCAGGAAATGTGTGAATTCATGAACGAGTGGTATATAAACAGGGATAGAATTTCTCGACTAATCAGTAAATATCTCACTGAGGAATAAAAAAAATAAAAATGAACATTTTTCAATGTGTCTGTCAAGATTGAATCATGAGATCCCCCCATATAGATAATTATCTCATTTTAGAAAGATAAATTGTATTAAACACAAGAGATCCTAATACTTAATGTACACAATGACAGAAATGACTTCATAGTTAAAGGGAACAAAACACATTCTCTTTTTTAATACATACTGGGTCTTGTAAAAGTGCAAAGAATGAAAGACATGGAAGACAAACCAATTAGTAGCAATCATTCAATCAACTCATAAAGCAATCACTATAATACGATTTGGTATTTGTGACCAGCATTTACAAATCGAACGAGTCAGAGAGGAAGGAGAAGAGATTAGGAGAAGAAAGAGGCTGGAGAATCAAATGAGACGAAGGGAGCTCTAGAGTCAAGAGGCCTTGTTGTTGCGTTCACAGTGGCAGCAAGGCTCTAGGAGGGGCATGAGGCGAGGCCACAGCAAATGTGAGGC